TCACATAACGCCATAAGCGCACATCTTATCAGACGGCAGCTGCGCCTATGAGATATCTTCCGATCATCTCACAGGTAAATGCAAGGTACCAGTTACCACAGTCGTTCACGTAATGAGGAAATCCATGTTCATGTCTTTGATGATCTTCTCCCAATCCCAACTATCTTCCGTTTTGGTGTCCATCACCTCCCAGACCTTTTGGACCACCTTGAAAGCCGGTTCGATATTGCGCAGGTTGGAGTAGGACTTGAGTGACTCAAATCCTTTCTGGATTCGCTCGCGCTGACGGGGGAGGAATGCCGAGCATCCCAGCAAGAACAGCGGCATCAAGACAATACTATACGCACCCGCGTCCTGCGGGAGCTGATCCAGGTACGATAGCCCATCGTCGACCACCTGGGCGATCTTGTCGCTAGGTCGGGACGGCCGGATCGTGCGGTATAGATATACCCAGGTGGATTGTCGGTAGAGTTGGGCCAGGTACCAGTTGGGGGTGTTGGCGGCGTGCGACGTTTCCCATACCCGAATGGCCGAGTCGATGGACACTGCCTCGCTCAGGATCTGATAATCCACAGCCGGCTCGTATCCCTCACTGTGTCGCTGGCGGATGCGATCCCGCAGACGAGTCACCTCCGAGATGTAGTTGAACAAACCGTCAAACACACCCAGGAACATTCCAGCCTGTGCATGAGGGACAAAATCCGGCAGCCGCAAGTCGCCGTTGAGATGGGCCGGACGTCGATCCAAAGAGGTAATCGAATTCGAGACGTCGTGATATTGGAAGAACTCCACGATGAACTGGCGGAACTTTTCATTTCGTGGCTTTTGGGTCACCAACAAATACCTCGCCGCATCCATGTGTGGCCGGTACTCGCCGTTTGTCTCCCCTTCGCAGATCGTATTCAAACTGAGAGCAATAGTTGAAGCGATAATGGGATCCTCCACCAGAAGTTCGGGCTCCTCGCCCGGCTTGCTCGATTTCTTGGTGATGTTATCCTTGAGGTCGCAGATGGCGCGGTGAAAGTGATGGTACTTTCGCTCCTTCAGACGTGGCTCGGGGTCGAGGCCGGACAAATGTGACCCGGAGAGGCACATGAGCGAATGCATCAGGCCGCGGTGTTGGGTAGCCATCGGGAGGAGGATTTCCTTGAATGGATTGGAGTCATCGTTGATTAATGTTAGAACCCGACTGAAGCCGTATACGAAATGGTCGAGGAAGCGTCGATCGATGTCGGTCTCGATACCGTCGATGAGGAGCGGAAGAGTGCGGGAGATGATGGATTGGTTTCGAGCGGCTGCACGAGTCAAGGCATTAACACTGCGTCCCACATATCAGTCACACAGGGTCACGGGGTCACCTACCATCCTCCAGCTTCTGCTTTCCGCTCTTCCAGATTTCCTTCGGAGGGTACCCTTCACACACGACGGCATTCTTCTGACAGTTTAAACACCTACGAACGAGTCAGTCAATGCCTTCCGTTGCACACGGTAGGGGAGGGAAGTTTACGCTGGCTTGGTCTCGTCGCATTTCTTCTTCCGTCGGCGGCACGTAATACACCCCGTCTTGGACCGACCCTTTGTGATTTTGGCTTGACCGCCAGGAACCGGGAGAGGGTGTTTGCGTGGCCGTCCACGTTTCCGTGGAACGTTGACGGGAGCAGCCGTGGCATCCCGCTGGGCAGAGTCCGCACTGGCCATCGGCGTCTCCACACCCAAGGGTTTGATACTCTGCAAATCCTCCGCGTCGTCGACCTCTTCCACCTTGGGGGTGACGTCGCCCATGGCGAAGTCCGGATCGTGCGCAGCGATCATGTTGAAGCCAAAGGCCTTGGATGCGACCAGCGAGGTGGCGGAGAAGGGCGCTTCGGGCAGGGGATGGGAGGCGTCGTGGATTTTGACGTCGACGTCGGCGGCGGGGGAGCCGTCGCAAGTGCCGTCGCCTTCCCAAGACTCGGGGGAGTCGTTGGAGTTCTCATCGGTGCTGATGCTGCCACGGTGGGAGAGGGAGGCGTCGTCGGTCAACGGGAAGTCGGCGAAAGCGGGGGGCATGTCGGACAAACTGCCCGCGCGGGTGGAGTTGCGGCGGTCCGAGACCTGGTTGGGAGCGACAACATGGTGGCCGTGACGAGTGGCACTGTCGATGTCCGAGGACGACGGGAGGGCGAAGGCAGAGGTTTGTTGCATGGACAACATCGAACGGGCATCCACCTCGGAAGAAGGCCGAGGCAGGCTGTGGAAGACAGCGACGGATGATATCGGGGGGTGGTGGTGGATGGGGTTGGCGGGGTATGAGGGAGGTTGATATAGGATGGTGAGAGGATGTACTTTTGCGACAGA